CCACAGACTGAACAGTACCGTGTTATTTGTACACCTAAACAAAGTAATTTTTCCCAAAACTCAGTTCGCCTGCTCTGCCGTCAGAGTTGTTTGAAAAGTAATTTTGTGTAAATTAATTTTTTAATATTTTTTTTGATAAATAGTGATAACTTTTTAACTTTTTAAATAATTTTTAACTTTTTGACATTTTTGTGGGTACCCAAACCAGGCCTTATTACACAATTAAACTCTACTTACTACTTAATGATACTCTAGTTGCTATAAAATCTGACTCCACTTATTACTCTATCAAATTTGACTTACTACGTATTCAAACATGTTATTACTCAATAAAACATCACTTTTTAGATTTGACTTGCTACTTAATTAAATCATTCTTACTATACTCTATGAGACTCTACTTACTATTTTATTAAATTTTATTTACTACTCAATGAAATTCTACTTACTATTTTATTAAATTTGACTCACTACTAAATTAAATCCTACTTTTTACTCGATGAGACACAATACTCTACTTATTATTTCAATATGACACCACTTCATTAGACTTGATTTATTACTCATTTAAACCCTACTTACTACTCAATGAGAGTCAACTTACTACTCGGTGATACTCTATTTACTATTTAATTAAATTCATTCATTACTTAATCAAACATGACTTACTAAATAAGACAACACTTCATTAGATTTGCTCTATCCTACTCAATGGTACTTGATTTATTTAATTATTCCATTAAACACGGTTCAATCCCGTGATATTATAGTTATGAATCCAATTGGAACCGAACCAAACCTGACCGTTTAGATTATATATATAATTTGTTACTGAATGCCAATACTAAAAATTTTATTGGTATCCAACTTATTAGCTGCCAATAAGACTTCATTACTACTGGGTGGTAAATAGAATTAGATTAAATTATAAGTAGGATCACAATGAATGGTCAGTAATAAATAAAAATATGAATTTTAAATATTAAACAAGAAATATGAATTTTAAACAAAATATAAAAATGTAATAATTTATTAGACTTAACTTAGTTTTCAATAAGATATCACTTCATTTGACGTAATTTACTACTCAATTAAATTTCACTTACTATTTAATGATTGGACTTACTTACTACTCAATTAAATTTTACTTACTTAGGCCTCGTTTGATAACATGCTATTTTAGTAACTTTTTAGTTCTTTTGCGAAAATATGAGGTAAAAAAAAGTAGTATGTTTGAAATGATTTCTTAGTGTTTTACGAAAAGATATGCAAAAAGTAAAGAGAAAAGAGAGTCTTTGACTTTTTGGTATAGGTTATAGACTTTTTGATTTTTTTTAAATAATTTTTTGACTTTTAGGTTAAAACAGACACTTGTCAAACGAGGTCTTAATGAGACTTTACTTACTAGTTCATCAGACTTATTGACAATTTAATTAAATCCTACTTACTAGTTAGTTAGATTTAGCTTACTACTCATTCTTACTTCACTTACTACTCAATCAAACTTACATCCAACTCAATCAAACATGACTACTATTCAATAAGATTCCATTACTATTGAGCGGAAAATAGAATTATAATAAATTATGAGTAGAGTTACAATGAATGATCATTAATAAACAGAAATGTGAATTTTAAACAAAGTGTGAAAATGTAAAAATTTATTAAACTTAACTTGGTACTTAATAAGACACCACTTTATTTGACTTGATTTACTACTTAATTAAACCTTACTTACTACTTAATGATACTCTACTTACTATTCGTTGATATTTTACTTACTATGCCATCAAACTTGACTTAGCAATAGGACTAGTACTTACTATTTCAGTAGATTTCACTTACTACTCAATTTACTTACTAGTTAATGATATTTCACTTGCTCCATTTACTATTTAATGAGATTTCATTTACTACACAATGAGACTCGTCATCAAACTTTTACCCATTAGACCTTAGTTATTACTCAATAAGTTTTCACTTACTACTTAATCAAACTCTACTTACTGCTTAATTAAACATGACTTACTAATCAATAAAACACCACTTCGACAAACTTAAGTTACTAGTCAATGAAATTATATTTATTATTTAATTAAACTTGACTTAAAATTTTAGAACTCCACTTTTCCTTTTACTAAGTGAAATGATTTTTCAACAAAATCATAAAATTTATAAATTAAAAATATCAAATAATGTTAAAATAAAAGAGAGATAGAGACATAGATAAATTATTACCTGAAAATTGTCGTCAATTTGTAAAATCTAAATCACCCTCTTTCACTTGTTCTTTGTGAAAAAACATTAAATAATAATAATAATAATCTTGTTCATTATGGATGCTAATGAGTTGAGAGTTCTTCTATAATTTCTTAATAAATATATTCTTATATAGCAATTAACGTTTTCAAGTATAGTATTAGTAGGTAAAAGAAAGTAATTACTCTACATGTATTCATTTATTACCATTAATAAATATTAACAAATGAGAGGTCTTTGTAAGTTATTTTATTCTATTTTATTTTCAATTTATGCTTTACAATATTTTAGATATAAAAAAATATATTATGAAGAAAACTTATGAATTTTATGAAGAAAAAAATATTTCATTATGGATATTAAATTGAGAATTTATAAAAGTTTCTAAAAGATATTTTACAAGAAATTCATATATGTTATATAAAATATACAAAAGTTATAACGTAGTTTGTAAAGCAAGTGACAAAAATGTGGGCGTTTGGTCTAGTGGTATGATTCTTGCTTTGGGTGCAAGAGGTCCCGAGTTCGATTCTCGGAACGCCCCAATATTTTTTAATCAGATTTTGTTAGTGTGAATGAATTCAATATTCATGCATAATAAAAATTATTTTTTATTTTCTGGAATCTATTTCGTACAAAATAAAGACAATAGGTGTTTCCAAAATTTTTAATATATTTTTATTTTCATAAGCTGCATAGCCTTTGATTTTATTTTTATTTTTTTGTTCTCTTCATAAATTCAACATTTATAAAATTCTCCGTACATTATTTTGCCATTAAATCACTTTAAAACCAAATGAATTTGTTTAACAACAATATTACATATTTGGATTTTTTCCCGCAAAAATTCATGTGCAATCCAAATTCATTTAGACCCAGGTCTTTTTGTACAAGATTTGAATTTAAATTATACAATAGTTTTTTAAGATTAAATTCTCAACATTGAGTGTTTTTGTGTTATTTGATTATCAGATGGTGCATCATAGATTCACAGAACTACTCTATATTGTTATCTTGCACTGAAAAATTTTGCATTCAATTATGCAGTGAAAAAAATTATGTTTTAAGTGGGAAGTCACAAACTTAGCAATGCAAGATCTAAATAATTCTGCACAATAAATTGGTTGTTTCTTACCCAAAAAAAATTGGCTGTTTAATTTTCTATTTTTCATAATGATGCTTAATAAATCCAATATTTAAAAACACAAACTTAACAAGATCCAAATAATTCTCTTAATAAATTGGCTCCAAAATTCTATTTGTCATAATAAAGATAATAAGTGTTTTTAAATTTTTTATTTCAGTAAGCTAAACCTTCGATTCTTTTCTTTTTTTTCCCCTTCAAAAATTCAACATTTATAAATTTCTCCATACATTACCATTCTTTTAAACCAAGAGCCATTCTTCACAGAACTGAGTGTTTTTGAACTTGTGCTGCCTTGGGACTGCCTTGCTAAGTTGCTATCATCCGCGATATTCGCTGGCGATCATCCAGGCATCTGGCCTTCTCATGGAGCCTCAGAGTGCAAATCGAGTGGCCCATTGGATTACAAATTAATTTTTTAGGATAAATTCTAGATGTTAATTCTGAGTGTTTAGCTTTTGTGTTTGTTTAATTCTCAGATGTTGCATCAAAGAGGTGCTATTGCTCTCAGGCCTTGAACAATTATGCAGTTTTGTGATTTATTACAACATTCAATTTTGAAGTGATAGAACATTTGTGTTTTAAGCAGCAAGTCACAAATTCAACCCTTATCTCCGTTGTGCACTTTCTATCACCCTTTCCTGACCCCTGAAGTTAGGTAGAATATGTTGTGAAATTCAGACCATTAGCCAAATAAATAAATGAAAAACCTAATAAAAAGTCAATGATCAGTGATTCAACTAAAACTAAACTATTTGTGGCGTGATATGAGACTATCGTATATGTGATCTGTTGTTCTAAGAATGAATTTTTACAAGATTTAACTGACGCACATGTTTGGAGGTTTTGACTTGACTATCAATTCGAACAGGTTAACCAGTTCAAATGTAGTTCTCGTTGGTTCTATGGAAATAAGTGTATTTTCAATTCAAAATGAGTTAGTGGTTTACCCAAGGCTTTTGGCCTAATAGTTGTATAATACCCTTTATGATGTGAAATCTCTATTTCCAACTCCCATTGAAGAATTTTTTTTTTTTTTTATCCAATCCAGAATACGGCCTGATTGACAAGTCAACTAATCAAATCTGATCTGATTTTCAAAGTACGGGCTTGTTTAGGAATTTGATATTTTTACGAAACGACATACATAAAAGTAGTGAGAGTAAAGTGGTTAAATGTTTTGACTTTTTTAACTATTTTAATCAAAATAAAAAAAAAAAAAAATCTCACCCCGCCTTTAAATACACATTTGCGGTCCAATTTCCATTTCACTATCCCAAATCCCCCCTTACCTATTGCCTGTAACCAAAAAAGGAGAGCCATGAAGATTCCGGAAATAGGGGCTATCAGTGACCCAAACAATGTGCTTATCATCACACACAAGTGACGTTGAGGCTTTCAACTAATCAAAAGGGTTCAAATTAGGATAAAGAGTATAGGTGTGTACTTTATAATTAAATTAAAAATACATATATATAATTTCATACTTTCTGAATTATAATTAAAAAATAATAGTAATAACCAACAACATATAATGCATAACTAAAAATCTCATGAGTCATAACTAAAGTAGAAAATTAAAAAAAAAAGACATAGCTTGAAGTTACATATGATAGGGGCGTGTATAGTAGAATTTCCCTCAAAATTAGACGAGAGAATTAGGAGTCACAAGGTAACATAAGCCGTATATGATGGCATAGCTACAAAATACACAAAAAGATTGCCTGGCCACATCTCATAGCTAAAATAAGCATTTCAGTCAATTCATGGCAAATATCATTTGCTTGTTGATGAAATTTTACACACATACACAACACCTACAAATCCACCCATTTTTTGTTCCATGTTCCTAATTCAACAACATATTTTTTATTCTGGGGTTTGGGGGGAAGGATTCAAGGTGGAGGAAGGCATGAAAACAACTGATGAAATATTCAGAGAGGTTAAACCTAGAAAAGCGGGAGCAAAACCATTTACAGATCCAAAAATACGAAGTCGCAACTGTATTTCAGGGTGGTACTGGCACCAAGATTTATCGACTTGAACTTCTTGAAAGCATGGCACCATTACAATCATCTAGATCAAGGACACTGCCTATCCTCCCACCAGTTTACCAAAGTCAACAGAACACCTGTGCTTCTTCTGGCTGCATAGTGTAGTGAAACGGTTATATCTTCATACATCCTTCACAAGCAAACTGTAATGAAGCTTGAGTAAGCTGGGTTTACAACTCAGACAAATTTGGTCCATGCTAGATGCCATCGGATACCCAGGCATCGTTCATTCCTTCTTTCCACAATCCCCACCTCCATCTCACTCTTGCACAATGAGCCATACACCTCGTGATGAGATTGCTGGTTATGGAGGACTCAACTTCCCGGTGGATGAGCAATGCCATATCTGTCAAGTTGCTGCATTTCTCCAACACAGAGAAAATAAAAGACAGGGTAATCTCAATATCGTTTACGAATAAATGAGCGATAATTTCTTTCACTGCCTTCATCCCACCACTAACTTCTGAACCTCCTGCATGAAAGCAAGTCTCCGCTCCTAACCAAGCCCCAGAGCCCAGAGTAAGAGATTTTGTGTTCGGAAAGACATCAAGCAGACTGTCAAGGTCAAACTTTGTCGCTTCAGCTGAGTCAGCACATTTTGATGATTCAACTGTAAGATTCTTGATTGTCTTGCAGGATGGAAATGTGCTGACTAGGCTGCAAAGATAGGTAGATTCAAGCTGAAGGGTTTTCAAATCACGGAACTCCTTAACGGCCAAGTTGCTTGCTTTCTCAAGGGAAAGATAGAAATCAGATAACAGTGGAGCATCAATAACAAGTGACCTTGGGTTCACACACTTCAGTTTCAGTTTGATCAGGTTGGGTGCAAGTATAGTCAGAGAAAGTGGTGCGTTAGACACTGTCCATTGACAGGTCCTAAGATGCAAGAGATGGATTTTGGGCTCCTTAAGTCCTCCAACCCCCATTAAATTGAGCACTTGCAGAGATGGGAAGCAATCGTTCACCCTACTTAGGTCTTCATCATCTAGTCTTATGAATTCAAGTGTCAAACTTGTGAGCACTGGCATTCGATTCAAACAATCCACGGACAGCCAAGCATTCTTCAACTCTAGTTGAAGAAGGCTATGGCCTGCATGTGCAAGAGGATATACAATTATTGTTTAGGCACATATATTCACAATGCAAGAGTTCTAATGCTGAATAATTGAAGTATGATAACCCTAAAACCTAAAGATTATGTTTTGAATTCTAAGCTGCAAACACACATTCTTTGATGGTTTATGAATGTGATGAAGGGAAAGGAAGAGAAAGTACAAGGTACTTTTCCAGTCACCATGGAAACATTGAGAAAAATAAAATATGATGAAAGCATACAAGAAGTTTTAGCTATGATGTCATTTTTCCTCGTCTTTTTCATGAACTCTTATTGTTTCAGAAATTGTGTACATAATTTTCATCCAAAAATATTTCAGAAACTGTATACATAATTTTCATCCAAAAATGATGATGTAGCTGTATGTTGAAAGTATAAGCTCAAGTGATGGATCTCATATGTTTAAACCTATGTTACCAAAAAACGCTAATACCTTAGCGAATTACGTATTGATACGCACGTTCTGAAACATGGTACACTTTCGTTTCAAAACAATAAATTTAGTGATCCAAAGTGATTCCAAAAGTTTTTTCCAATATATTTCCTTAAATGTTACCTTAGGAGACAAAAAATTAAATATATGAATTAAAATCTAAGGTGAGTTAAGTTTTGACAAGACAAACATATCAAAAATGGGTCATAATTTTAATAGAAATTATTTGTTACATGAAGAACAAAAAAATTATTGGACACCTAATAGTTAAAAAAAAATTACTTTAGAAATACGTTAAATTTTTAAGTATAATATATATAAGTCTACTCCTATCGTACCACATTTTAGAGCATGTGATGTACCACGTTCCCGTTCCCGTTCCATGTACTAGAACAATCCATGTTCTAGGTAACATAGGTTTAAACGATAGGACCACAGTAAGCAACGCCACTGTATGAAATTTTGTACAAAGGTTTGTATAGCAGCACTCTTCATATAAATTCTTCAATCTAATGTTTTCTAAAACATAAGAGAAAATGGTTTCAAAAATGGGCCACGACACAACCATTATGTTAACTTACGCCATTTACATAACCACATGCGCAGTTACCGCTATTCGTTATGGCCGCTATACCAGTGTAATTGAATTTCATAGGCATAACAGCCACCATTGTTAGCCACCATTGTTATGTAACGCCCAAAAACACAAAACTAAACTGCTTTTCTTCTCCCTCTCCACAAATCTCCACACAAATGCAAGGCCCAAACATAGCATAAAGTAATTAGATCAAAATGGAATTAGTGGTAAAGTTGGACCAATAAGGTAAACTCAATTATTATAAAGTTCAAGTTTTCTTAATTGTTGAATTTGAGTGTAGCTCAAATGGTCGTACCTCTAGATTTTTAAGGGAGGTTTTGGGTCTGAACTTATGGAGAAGCGTCAAACAATTAGTTGAGTTAATCTAACATCCTACCTAGTGCCAAAAAGAAAAGGACAAAAAAAAAGACCAATAAGGTAAACTCAATTATTATAAAGTTCAAGTTTTCTTAATTGTTGAATTTGAGTGTAGCTCAAATGGTCGTACCTCTAGATTTTTAAGGGAGGTTTTGGGTCTGAACTTATGGAGAAGCGTCATCGGAAATGAAGAATTGAATGTGTATAAAGTAACCAAAAATGGAATGCACTCCTCAAATTTAAAAGAAACAGCTAATATTTCAACCTCAAGTCCTTGAACAATGCTGGTGGTGAAACCCACTGGTATGAAATAAAATCAAAGAAAATAAAGGAAATTTATTTTGCGAGTTTCTGATAGATTTCTCTCTACCCAAACCCAGAATTTTTTTTTTTTGGTCTTTTTTTTTTACCACTGAACCCAAAACTAGCCGAAATTATCACATAGGTTCTGTGTGTTCATCAAATGTTATTTTGTGATTTGTAAAGCATATTTTCAGAACCGTAAGCATTTAGCTCTCTCTTGCTATTCGACAGGGACACCGCCAGTATTGTATTCCCTACATACAAGATAATTACTCCAAAACCACCCATATATTAAATTAAATTGGTCTATAAGTAATGAGTGAACCAACCAATTTCTAACTTGAAATTCATCTTCTTCCAAAATTCACAAAAGATAATCAAATTTCTAGACCAATTTCTAAGCTGAATTAACAATAAACATTTAAAAGCAATCAAAAATTTCCATAATTAAAACTATCATTTTGCATAATTTAAAGTTTCTGAAACTAAACCCCCAATTTCAAAACCATTTTTCACAAATTAACTGTTGAATTCCATTGATAATACAATCAACAATGCAAAACATATTCACAGAGAGAGAGAGAGAGAGAGAGAGAGAGAGAGATGCAAAGGACTTACAACACGAAGAAATCAAAGAAAGAACCTCCGATCGTCTCCAACAAGATTGAACCCAGAAATCGGAAATCGAAATCGATCTCAACCGTCCAGCCACGCTCGGCAACCAGTTGGACACGAAATCCACATCCGTCAGATGAAGATCGTTCAATTCATCTTCTATGTCGTCGTACGATAGACCACGAAGAGGCTTCTCAACGCCAAGCGAGACGGACTCGACGAGTCTCGAACTCGAAACCAGGTTCTTGAAGATTGATTTGAATGGCGTGATCAGAGACTTGGTCTCCGGCGATCGAGACTTGGTGTAGCGATCGAAGGAGCAATGGAGGTTGATTGATCGGACTTCGATGGAGAGGGCGTTTAGGGTTTTAGAGACGACTCGGCACCGAGCGAGGTCGCCCGAGTTGTTGAGTCGATTCAGGATTTCGAGAATTAGCGGTGGAGGAAGGTCGTCCATGGTGGATGGTAGAGAGAGAGAGAGAGAGAGAGAGAGTGCGTGTGTATGGAGCATTGGATAAAATGAAGACAAACGTGTTTGGAAGAGGAGGTTGAGCTAAAATAGTTAATAAAATTTTTTAAAAAATAAAAATAAAAATAATTAATATATTTAAATTATAATATATATATATATATATATTTTTTTTGAGGAATTATTATTGGAGTAGAAAAAAATTAAAAAAATATGAAGGGTACAACTGATTATGTAGTGGGGTGTAAGTGAAAAATTGTAAAGGTACAAGTCTTGAACCCTTTCATGTTTGTGTATTTTATTTTTTTCTATCACACTGTTAAGCAATTATTATTTTTGGATAAATTACACTTGCTTTCCTTGAAGTTTTTAATAATTACAGAGACTTCTCATGTGGTTTTAATAATTACACTAGCTTACTTTTGAAACTATTATCAAGATTCCTCAAATCCATTAATTTAGCACAACCGTTGTGATTTTTCTATTTAAAATAACCATATTACCCTTTTAAATGGAGCAAGAAGAGATACAAAAAACTATTTAAAAGAAATTTTCATTTACTCCTCTTGAGATTTTACATATATATTATTAAAGATCCATACATATTTTAACTTAAAAACCCAATAATTTAATATAAGACCCTAATAATTAATACAATACTTATAAGACTTATTTCACACTATATAAACAACTAAATATTTATCAATTTTAATTAATGCATTTATTATTTAAATTTCTTTTTTCTTTTCTTTTTTACATTGAAACAAATGGATTAACTTTTTTTCTAACAATTTGTCCTACTTATTTGTTTATATGTAAGAAAATTATTTATCTTTTAATTGTTAAGATATTATTAATAAATTTTAATTTTTTTCTTTGAGTTATTAAATTTCTAGTCAATACATATTTAAAAAAATGCATGTTATTCTTACATGATTAAAAAAAATAAAAATAAATATACAAGTAAAAAAATCTAATCGGCTCACAATGAATTAAAATTAGTTAATGGAGAATAAAAGGTCAAAAAATAATTTGAGAATAAACAAATCAAACAATTTCTCATTTCTTACACCTACAATTAAAATTAAATGGATATATTATTGTAGAATACTAAAATACTCAATTAATTTGTTGTATGATATTTAAAATATATTTTTTCATCTTTATTTTTCTCATTTAAACTATTTTTTATTAAATTAAATATCAAAATTAATTTCTCACCTTCACTAATGGTTAAAATTTTACCTTATTTTTTAATTTCTCACCTTTATTTTGTTCTATTATTATTTATAGCAAAATTATTATTTAAATTATCTAATTTTACTTCTTCCATATATCTAATACTCATATAATTTTATTGACAAGACTGAGAAATCAGACTCTAATACTAATTTCAACACAAAATGAAATAAAATACTTTCTAAAGAAAAAATATGAAGCTTAAATTCCAACTACCAAAGCTACTCTTTTTTTTTGTCAACTTACAACCTTAAAGAGCCCTCCTTCTTAGTTGATAAGCTTGAAAGTATAGGAAATTCATTATTCATGTTAACATTACCTATCCATTGGTCCATCGAAAACTGAAATCTATTTCCATCCACAATCGCAACTGTAACATTATCCAAATAAAAGTTAAGTAGAGTCAAATTAGAATAAGCCATAGAAATAACATTATTCCACACCCTTTGTTGTTGGTGGAGCGTGAAACAAGACTTAACCTAATTAGATTAGGAAAAGGAAACAAGAAAATTAGTGTTTGGTTAGATTTGGACTCTAAACTATTTCCTTATTGGTTAAGATTTTTTGTATCAGTTTAGGTTTTAGTTTCCTTATTAATTTACATTTAGGAAATTAGGATTAAGGCTAGCCTTATAAATACACCCATGTAGCTCTATATTTTTATTCATTTATTAGTTTTGTGATCTTAGAGAGAGATACACAATAGTGAGAGTGAGAAATAGATCATTGTAGAGAGAGAGAGTTTGCGAGATTGTGAGAGACTTTCATATTGATCTTAGTAAATCCGTAGTGACTCCGTGGATGTAGCCGGGATTTGGATGAACCACGTATATCTCTTGTGTTGCTTTGGTGAGTTTGGTTTTATGTTCTTTTACTTCTCTATTCTAGATTCGTTATGTGCGTGATTGTTTGCTCAAGTCCCGAAGTTTGGTATTGATCACATATACCATAACAACCTAAGCCACAAGGGTGTCCCCCTAGGGGACTTCAAAGAGCACAATTTATGGTCCATTTCAAAAACCTATTCTTGATTGAATTATATAACACAAAAATATATATATATATATATATGCAAACCTCAGAAGAGGTGAGTGAAATTTCTCAGTTGAATAGATAAACTAATCAGTCCTGGTTTGACTATCATTTTGGGGCTAAAAGAGCACAAAATAGACTAAATAAGTTAATAAGACAAAATATCATATCCAACCCATAATCATTACACTTTTTCTCTTACAAAAGTCAAAAAAGCCAAACCAAAAGAGACTAAAAAAGCCAGACTAAAAAAGTCTCAACGCAAAAAAGTTGACTATATTAGCCAATGTCAAACGAAGTTTTAATAGGCAATTTCACCATTTTTGGTATAATATCAATATGACATCAGCAAATTATGTTAAATAGCTTAATAATGGAGGGAATCTTGATAATAATTTTAAAAGTAAGGAAGGTTAATGTAATTATTAAATCATAAGGGAGATCTCTATAATTGTAAAAACTTTAGGGGAGGTAAGCATAATTTACCTTTTTATTATTTTTTTTTTTTTACAACCATCAAATTAGCTATAAAAAAAACTAAAAATCATTATAAACTGAACTTTTTAAGGGCATCCACATCAAAACTCAACAAAATTTGAATTAAATTATAATTCAAAATCTACTTTTGTACTTTGACTAGCATCTTTTTTATATGCACACTCTATGAAACTCTCTATTCTAAAATACTATTTCATTAAAATATTATTTTTATTGTGTTCCTTCGTCTATAATTTTTATTATGTTTTATTTATAATCTTATTGGTTGACAATGTATTCTATTTCATTAAAATATTACTTTTTATAATTTTTTTCTATAATTTCTATTTTATTATATTTTATTTATAATCTTATGTGTTAACACTGTATTAATAATAGCAAATATAAGTGATGAGATCTATTAAACTAATACAGTATGAATACATATTTATTATTAATATATCAATTATTGATTATAAAATGTAATATTTTAAATATTTCATTACCTAAAATTATTTGTTGACTCATCTTTTCCTAATTACATGTAGCAAGTGGTTTAATATTCAACCAAAATAATTAGTAAAAAATTGAGTTTGATGAAGTGTATTTCTATACTTTTGTGTTATAAAATAGCCAATGAAATGCTTTGATAAGCTTGATAATGATACTCTAACTAACAAGGTTCAAATGGCCAAAAGTTAAAAATAACAAGGTTCAAATGACCAAAAGTTAAAAATCTAACTAAAATAGTTAAGTTCCTAAACGAGCCCAACGTTGACAAAAAATGGCCAAAAAAAAAAAAAAATCTCATAATTTTTGTATGATTTTTTTTTAGCAAACAAAGTGTTAATATTTTTTTTAGAATATATGTTTTATTATTTTTTAAAAAATATATTCCAAAAACATACTAGCAAGATGATTTGAACTCCATTATTATATTTACACAACGGCTATGGCATTATATTGCATTAAATTAAAAGAAAGCAAATCCCTTATAATTATTAAAACATTATTTGTTTATGAAAAATAGTTAAGAACATTAAAAGTGGTGCTCTAATAGCACCACTAATGATGTGGTAATGGGTCTCGTCCACTGTCTATGTCTTATTTTATTTTATTTTTGACATTTTCAATGTATGAATGTTATTAATAATTTTTTTTAGTGGTATAAATCATTATTGTTTATTTATTAGCCAATTGAGCTAATAAAAAATTATAAATATAAATAATTGTTTGAATTAAACAATGATATATACTTCTTTTCATGACAATGTGTTGGATTGGACTGGTCGCTTGGATTTGAGAATGTAATTAAAAGTTAAATTTTAAATTTTAAATTTTTTTTAAAAAAATATATAAAAAATATAAAAAATGATGTGGCTTAGAGTTAAAAAATTGACTTTCAATTATCTTTTCAAAATAGTCTTTTTGTTATTCCTAACGTTTTAGATTGGTTCATTCTGTCACAAGTATCTCTATGTTTTGTTGAGTATAGAATGAATTTGAGCCAATGACTGAATTTTTTTTTTTTAAGCATTTGGTTTACTTTTCAAAATTTAATTATGTTTTTAAATCATGATTGGAATAAAACATGTTAACCAAACATATTTTTAAAATACAATTTAAAATTACTTTCAAAACTCTTCTTTTCTCTTTTATTATTATTATTATTATTATTATTAATCAATCAATCAAGAGTAAATAGGTGATAAATCCAATTTAAGGAGTGTCTAAGTTATTAGGTCCAATGAAATTTTTTTTATTATTGAAAGGTTTATCATTTGTGAAATAGTTTGGTAAAAAGTCATTCTGTTTTAGTTTTGAAAGACATTTTGGGTGTGTTAGATTGGGAGGATAAGGGGGGGATTATTCACTATTGAGATTGTAATCCAGGGAAGACTCTTTATCCGGTGTTTGTTTTTTTTTTAGTCCGTCAGACATGGAGTCCGGCCGGACTCCTTATCCCCCATATGGGGGACTATTGTATCCTAGGGGGGTATGGGACAATTTTCAGGGGACAATTTGCAGGGGACTATCCACTGTTGGGATTAGGTGATAAAATGACCATTTTGACCCTCTACTATTTAATTATGTATTATATTTAGTAAAATTTAAATGTCTCAATTTCAAAATAAAATAATTTTATTTAAATTTTTATTGATGTTTTATTTATTTAATTTTTAAAAATAATTTTTTATAGATATTTTATTAATGTTTTATTTTAAAATTTTGTTTATATTTTATTTAATCTCATTATTTAAATGTTAATAGATGTTTTATTTAATTTCATTGTTTAATTATTATTATTTTTAAA